GAAGCTCATTTTCTTCCATATTATAACTTTGTCCTCCACCAGAGCAGTGAGAGGGGAGTAGGGGAAGGAGGGCAGGGAGGGAAAAAAGACTCTCCGAACGCACTAGCCCCCCAGCAAACCCATCAAAGGCCAGCCATAATTTAGCCCATGAAATGTGCATGGGTGTGGAATAGGCAGGGCCGGCTCTAGGTTTTTTGCTGCCCCAAGCAACTGCTTGCTTTGCTGGTGCCTAGAGCCGGCCCTGGGAATAGGGAAGCTGGCATGAGAGCTGAGAACCAACTGTTCCCTATGCAACAGAGTAGTGCAAGAACTGAAATCACTTATACCTGGGATGCCTCAAAATTACTTGCTTCTCAGTAGCCACTCGTATTCTGTTCTGTGTCACACTGAGAGGGCCTGAATACTGCTACTGTTCACTTACAGACACAATACAATGAGTAGTAGAATTAATATGCGTCTCCCATGATTTCGTGCGTTCCTCCAAGTGTGCAGGTGGTCTTCTACTGTCTCACTGTAAAGCAGCCAAATATATATTTCCACAAGCAGGTACATGTGAAGTGGCTGTTGCTATTGGGCTCTGCTGTTCACTCCTCTCTTCCACTGTAGGAACCATTCCCCTGTAGACCATTGGTCCTGATAATACTTCCTTCCCCTAAACCCACAGTAACCACCCCTCACTTGCAGTGATTCTGACTCCTGACTGCAATGGCAACTGTTATCAGCCCACGAACCAGCTCCCATTTTCTGATCCCTCTTCTGCACAGCTTCCCAGACCCCTGGCTGACACACTGGAGGGATTGATTCTGTGCCCTTTCAAATCAAAACTCACAGATTTCCCTGATGCAGGATAAGGCAAGAGATGCCCCTTTCTCACCACCAGACAAAGTATTGAATAAATATAAATTCAATATAACAGTCATTGATGGGATCCACTTTAGTTCTCCCTGGTCTAGGTTTGATGGTTAATAATTGTTGCCTTTTTCTCTCTTTTTGGAAATAAACGTCTTTTAGAGACAACAGAAGAAGCAGATTAGTTTGAAGATTATTATATAAGAAATGATATGTCATCATGTTCTAGCATTGCAGAGCCAATAATGAGTTAAATGTCTTGAAGGCTGTCTTTTATTTTAACTTCTCATTTACATTCTGAACTTTAAGCTAACAACAGAAAGGTCCTGCCTAGCAAATATAAAACTAATTCTGGATTTGAAAACCTAATCTAAATTATAGGTTAATATGGACATTTGTTTTCCCTTCTCCAAATGCTAATCTTGCTATGCATCTGACATTCATTCAATCATCCCCTTAGAAAATATTTAGTGCTATTATTGCAAGTGATACATTGGGACTAGCATCCACTTACCAAATTAGAGTCACTGGGAGGATGGTACTTCTCTGTGCCCATTCTCACAAGTCCATCATGATATAAAAATATTTTTAATGGATCACAGGATGTTACCAGAATATACACTCGTAAATCAAACTTGTAACCTTCCATAAGAAATGGTTTGTCAAGGTATTCCTGAACAATCAAGTGATCCTGAGCTTGTAGTTTTTCTCCATTTCTTATCAGAGAGATTCTGTTTAAAACAAAGGTTAATTTAAAACACTGAAATTTGACACAACTCTTTGAAGTACATTTTCATAGCTGACCAGCCAGAGAACTATCTTAATTCCATTATCTATGTGGATATTTGTGTATCTTATGTGCATAGTACAGAAATATGCCATTCACTTACGTGCTTTTATTGCTTCCTGCACTTGACAGTGCTACAATGGGATGAAGAAAATCAATGCACCATTTAAAAATAACTTTCTGCTCCTATTCATCCGACAAGTTGGAATAATGGGTTTCCCTCTGCCGTTCAGAAATGCTAGGCAGAGTGACCAGCCACCGGCTTTTAAGATTATTTCTTGCCATGCAGCTCTAGAGACTGGCTCCTATACTTTCTTCAGCTCATCTTCTGCCCCAGATCCAGGATTCGGTGCCACTTCACTGCTGAACTGATTACAATGGGGCTACTTGCAGAGTAATAGGAGTACAGGTGGCAGAATCAATCCCGATTTTTCATGTTTCATTTAATATGTTTCACATAACCAAGTGGCTGAGCTAACTGATATTATGAACTCCGGGACACTAAAATCTATGTTAAAAATACTAAAGTTTGGAGTTAAGGTAACAAAGCTGTGAAAATTCAGAGTTGAGACTTGAACCTGATATACTTATCTCACCTGGTTGTTCCTGTAACATCCCATCCCATAGATAAAAGAGCATATTGCCTATATGTATTTTCACAAAAGGAATCCTGATCTCAAGTCCTATTTGAGCCCCTTATCAGCAAAAGCTTTCTGTAACACGGAAAACAAAGTTCCCCTTTTACCATTTCCATTTAGCCTTCTATCTCAGCTGTTATTGGTCTGTAGGCCTTTGTCAAAATGTGAGCCTTCTTATACGGACACTACTATTCACATATTAAACCTTTTGCTACCAGAGTTTCCAGGTAATGACAGTAGTTTGGGATAAGATGCACAAAAGTTAAGATTTAATCTCAAAAACTGCCCATTATTTGGAAAATATTTTTTTAAACATTTCACCTTTGTTTAGATAACATGAATAATCTATTCAATCAACCTACCCATGCCCCATTGCACCATTAGCTGGTTTGACTATAAATGTTTTCTGTCTTCGCTTCTTCTTCAGTTCCTTCACATAGTTCTGAAATTGCATATATTCTGCAGGGAAGATCCATGTTCGAGGAATAAAACTATACTCCTGAGGCTGAGACTTGATCATTCTGCAAAAAGGAAAACTGAGGTTAGAAACCTTTTTCAACCTTCAAGTTTAAACCTGTTACACTTCAGTCTACAGGACTAAATTGTATTCTGAATGGGGACTCTGAAAAGCAAGTTT